GAAAACTCTAGTTGATTGCGCTAGTGGTGATCTTACAATGACGGTGCACGATCAAACGATCAAATTTAATGTTTTTAGCGCTAATAAAAATCCATGTGATAATAATGATTGTTATGCTATTGATCTTGTGGATTTTACAAATCATGACGTTTTGATCTTAGACCATGAGAAAGCATCTTTGAGTGCAGGAGATGGCGGCGGAAACGGCAGTGGAAAGGATCAAGTTTATTGTGCAAACTCAAGGCCACTTTCTCCGAAAGATAGTCAAAGGAGTTTGGGTGATAACGACGATGAGCGGGCACGGAGGATGTGGCAACCTAAAGAACCAAACAAGCATTATCGAGGAGAGGAATTCAATCGCCAAGTGACTTCGGTCACATTAGCTTGAACAAAGAAGCAGACAAAGTCCGGCTGAAGACTGTAAACTTAGCGCTTCTCGGGAGGCAACCCGAGATTTCGTTTTTCTTATTTTATGTTTTTTTAATTTTTTAGTTTTTGTTTTAATAAAAAAAAAATAAAAAATAAAAAATAAAAAAATTTCAGGGGCACTAATAAGAAGTTTTTATTTTTCAGGGGCCTAATTGCAATTATTCACACGGCCGTGCAAGAAAAAGGCAGGAATCTCACACGGCCATGTGAGATTTCGGTGATGCTACTGCCCAAAATCGCAAAAGGGCGCGGTCGTGCGGATTTTTCACCTAAATCTCGCACGGCCGTCCGAGAATTGAAGTGGCTACTGCCCAAAACTGGGAATTGGCTCGGCCGTGCGGATTTTTTCCCTTAAATCTCGCACGGCCGTCCGAGAAAAAAAACGGGCATATTAAAGAGGGATTTTTACACCACAATTTTCATAATTCTAAATCCCCCCTCACCCCCACTTCGAACCCTAGTCTTCCTCTTTCGAATTTTTTCCTTTTCTTTGCCAAATTTCACCGAAAATTCACCAATTACACACATTTATTACTTAATCTCGGTGGTTTGTTATTGATTTGCGCAGGGAGGATTCAAGCAAGGTGCAATTTTCTCTAAAAAATCATTCCACCAAGAACGCCCACAAGATGTTCGACGAATAGCCCAAGCCAAGTTTGAGGGAAATTTTGCACATCAATTCACTTCTATTCCCGTCCACACGCATTCTCAAGTCATGGGGAAACGAGGACGTGACGGGGAGGGCACCTCACAAGGCGAAGGCACTTCAAAAGTCAAGGGGAAGGGCAAGAAGGCCGATCAAATTCAAACACCCGACGACGATGCTTTTGTGTCGAAGGCGCCAAGCCTCGTTTTGAGAAACAAAAAGTGAAGAAACTTGTGACGGAGCGTGCATATGAGATCACCCTTCCACAATTTGCCCCGTTGCATCACGAATTCCTACGGCGAGGGTGGCAAGCATTATTAGAACCGGAGGGGTCGATCAACTTATCGTTGGTCCGCGAGTTCTACGCCAACACCCGTATCCTCCTAACAACGGATCGGAAATCGAGCACCGTTCGAGGAAAGCGGATCGATTGGTGTGCCAAAGCCATCAACTCCTTTTATCACCTCCGACATGAGCCATTCAATTGGGAGCAAATGCAACTTGCGGTCACAAGAGATCAACTCGCCGAGGTGTTGTGCGATCGACCCCCAATTTGGTCCGAACTCTCAACCGAGGAGGCATACGAGTTAGAGTGGAAATGCATCCACCAAGTAGCCAAGGCGTACCTTACATTCATTTGTGCCAACCTCATCCCCACCCGCTCGTGGACTCACGTGGATCCCGAACGGTGTGCTCTTGCATACTACATTCTAAAGGGCACACCGATCAATATTGGCGAAATCATAGCCGAACATTTTTGGATCTCCATGGTCAACAACGCCAAAGGGTTTTATTTCCCGTGCCTCGTTACCGGCTTATGCAAGAAGGCGAAGGTCCCAACAAAAACGACCGATATTCTCACACTGATGAGTAACCATGCGGCCCGACAATACAAGGCACCCATTCAAGATGGAGAGCAACCCGTCGATCACCAACCAATAGCTCCACCCGAGGGTCCAAGCATAAGTTCGGACCGCCGTTGTGAAAGAAGAATGGAGCGAGACTTGGTGATCACTAGAAATCGGCTTGCTACGGTGGAGCACAAGGTGAGCACAATCGAATCCCTTCAACGGTGGTCGGGGAAGATGCACCAAGCTATTGTGCGCCATTTGGCGTGAGGTACTCCCGAGTGCGCCGAACCGGCTCCGTTGCCCGCACCGATTCTTGAGCCGGTACCCGAACTTTTGGATGATGAGGAGGATGGTGATGCTCATGCGCAAGGTGGAGTTGGTGAGCAACCCGATGATGGTCCCGACGCTTAAACAAGTGTTTTCTATCCTTAAACTCCGGGCGAATCACATTGAGGGCAATGTGAATTTTATGTTTGGGGGTGGTTAACTATTTGTTTTCATTTATGTGCGCCTACTTTGTGTTTTAATTTTTTTAGTTGCATGCTTTAGTTTTTGTTTTAGTTGTCGTTTTTTTTTATTTATTCGAAAAAAAAAAAAATTTAAAAAAAATTGGTTTTGCTTGGATCGACGCATCGATGAATTATGATGATGGGAGATGGTCAATGTTTGATGATGAGATTACTTGTTTTATGTTGATAAGGAGTAGATATTCGTTTACCTTTCAATTCAACGGAACGTAGAAGTGAATTATTGCTAGGAATCACACCTTTTGCATTGCGTTGGTTGAATGTTTTGCATTTTAAATTCGGAATTTAGTTGTGCTAAATCATGCTTTGTTCGGTTTTAAATCTGACCTTAGGACATTTATGATACAAAGTGTTGGGTAGTAAGTGATTTGGGATATGATTTGGGCCTTCTTTGAACCGTTTGAGCCTTTCAAGCCTACCCTTTTCATCGAACTTATCCTTAGAACCTTGATTTGAGCCTCGGAGAAAAGGTGTTCTTTCTTTTAGCCAATATGTAGAAGGTAGAAAAGTGGAGATTTTTGAATAATTATCCCTTGGAGGTCGATCGAAAATTCTTATAAGATCTTTCTTCTGCTTCGAGAAAAAAAAAACGAAGAAGAAGAAGAGATTAGAAGGGAGGAATAAGGACTAGTTGTTGAATTGTGTTGAAAACTCGATTCACTTGCCTAAAAGGCAAAAGTGTAGATGTTTGAACTTTTGAGAATCGAGTTTATTTAAGTCCTTAGAGGTGAATTCATTGTTTCAAACGCCTATCTTTCAAATTTTGGCGTAATCACCTCAATTCAAGAAAATTAGCCACACATACCCATATTACCTACCTCGGACCAAAGAGCCTAACAATTGAAAGCCACAAAGTCCCAATGATCCCAATAGCTTAATATTCAATATTAGTTGAGTAGAATACTTTGGTGAGTATTTGGAGTCAAATATATGCATGTAAGTACAAATTCTTTCTATCTTTAACTTGCAAATATTGGATACTTGAAGCAGTTGTATGATTTGTGGTTTTTGGTAATAGTGAGTGACTAAGTGCCGTTGAATGTTAAGCGTGCGAATACCTAAGAATTATCATCATAATTGCAAGTTCTGAAAACGCGAAGTTGACCAATCGATCTATGTAATGAGATGTATAGTCGAGTTTTGTGCTCATAAATTGATTTGACTTGAGGACAAGCAAAAGTTCAAGTTTGGGGGTGTGTTAAGTGTATATTTTTACACTTAATTGTACCTTTTAATTGGAGCTTTTGGTGTGTTTTAACGATAATTGGTGCTTAAAATGGTTGTTATTTATATTTTATGTACAAATTGAAGAATTGGCAACTTATGGGGTAAAAACTGCAAATTCGGAGAAAAAGTGAGCCACAAGTAAAAAAATCAGAACTCAGAAGAATTAAAGACAGTACGGCCGTCCGGATTTAAGAAGGAATTCTCGCACGGCCGTCCGGGTGAACGAGGTGGCGCAGTGAAGGAAGTTTAATTACACAAGGAAACCCGCCCTATTATATTTTTGCACCCTATTTAAAGGCCAAAAGCACACAATGAGGATCTTTTTATCTTTTATCTTTTTACACGCGATCAAGGAGCACAAGAACGAAGACGAAGGCTTGGCGAATCTTCATCATAGTTCTACTCTTTTATTTTTATTCATAGCTTTTATGGTTTTTCGTATTTTTATTATGTTTTTCGTAGCGAACATGAGTAGCTAAGTTTTTATTCTAGGTGATCCAGCCCGATATCGCTTGATAGATCCAATAAAGACCAAAGGCCCAAATGAGGTCAAAAGGCCCCATTAGGCCCATCAACGGGGAGGGCCCATCAAACAGCTATTCGGTAGGCGAGAGGGATCACGCAGTGGGTCGCGAGCAGCCCACGTGCGAGAGGTCTCTCGCCCTCTCGCTCTCTCGCCAAGCCTCCGAGAGGGATCACGCAGTGGGTCGCGAGCAGCCCACGTGCGAGAGGTCTCTCGCCCTCTCGCTCTCTCGCCAAGCCTCCCGCCGCCCTCCGGGGTGATCATTGCTGCACATGGGGGAATTTAATGCCCGTCCAATCCACTGACAAGAGCAGAGGAATGTCGTTTCGGCCGCTACCTTTTGCCTCTGTCGCCGCCAATGAGGTGACAGATTAAACCGCATTGAAGGTAATTTGAGGTCCGGATGCTTAATTACCGCGATGGGACAGGTAAATTAAATTGAAGAATATTTGACGTCCGTCCCCTTTTTTAGTATAAATAGGGGCAGTAAATACAGGAAAAGAACAACGAAATCATATACATAAATTACATACAGAAGCATAAAATCTTCTTCATGAAGTTACTGACTTGGCCGTCGGAGTGCTAACTCCGGCCTAAGTCCGGTTCTTTTCTTTCTTGTAGGTTTATCGTGGGCTCCGGTCCAAGTTCAGGCCTACTCAACTTTCTAAACCAGCCCACCACGAATCCAGCCGGATCAAATGGCGCCGTCTGTGGGAACCCGTTGAACAAAGCTGTGGCAACGTTTCCCGTTAAAAAACACCTTTGTCTGTTTTTCGTTAACCAGTATACGTTTATCAATGGCCTCGTTTCCCAGCATAGTGAGGGATCTAACCAGTCAGATGGAGGCCGAAGCAACCCCAGCCCCGCAGGAGCACCAACCAGCCGTCGGAGAGGCCTCTGCTGCGAGAGGAGAGACGCCGCAGACAGCCAGCATTACGGGAGGTAGCCCCTTGGTCGCCATGACTATGGAAAACCTGCAGGCACTTTTGGCGAGCGCTGTCCATGAGGGCTCTGTGCGCATGTTAAGGGAGCCCGAGGCCGCGTCGCCCAAAAGAAGGATGGGGGAGATTGGAGGGCGAGGGAGCGAGGGACCCGCCCGCGCAAGCTCCTCGCTAAGTGCATTAAGCCTTTTCTCGGCCGACATTCTGGATGACGATCTGCCTCAGTCATTCCGACCTGTAACTTACGAATACTTGGGGACCACCGACCCTTGCGAGCATCTCTGTCGCTTCAATAACACTTCAGATTTGCACCGATTTACCGAGGGAGTGAAGTGTCGGGTCTTCGCGACTACGTTAGCGGGAGCCGCACAGGCTTGGTTCAGCCAGCTGCCTGCGGGCACGATTGGCAGTTTCGACCAGCTAAGCGCATGTTTCATGGATCACTTCGCGAGCTCAAAGAAGCAAAAGAGGAGCACCTTGACTCTGTTCGCGGTCAGGCATAGGGAAGGAGAGTACTTGCGAAGTTTTATCAAGCGTTTCATCTCGTCGACCTTAGAGGTACCAATTACCTCGGAGGAAGTTTTGATTAGCGCTCTCGCACAAGGGCTGCGGGTTGGCGATTTCTTCACTTCGCTCTCGAAAAAGCCTCCCGCATCTTTTAATGCTTTGTTGAAAAAAGCCGAGCGATATATGAACGCAGAGGAGGCAGTGCATAATAAATTTGGCGATAACAAGGGCGGTCTCGAGGCGAAAAGGGAAAAGAAATAAGAGAGAACGCAGAAATCGACTCAACTGGCGAGAAGGGAGGTGCAGAACGAGAGGAAAATAGGACCTCGTTTTGACAGCTATGCGCCGCTGGTCGCACAGCCAGGAGAGATATTATTGGCCATAGAGAATAACCCAAAGTTAAAGTGGCCTCGCACGTATGCAGAAGCCCCGAGGAAAAGCCCTACGCTGGGGAGTTTCTGCCGTTTTCATAATGATTATGGCCACACCACCAACGAGTGCCAGCACCTTCGTGACGAAATCGAGAGGCTCATACGCGCGAAGAATCTGCCAGAATTTGTGAAAGAAGGGAACCAGCGCCCGCAACAGTTCCCAGCTCGGCGTACGAACGAGCCCCGCAAACCGGAGCCGGGAAGGGAAAAGCTAAATGAGAGGAAGGACCAGGTGGCGCCTGCCAATTTCATCAGCATGATTTTGGGAGGACCTTCAGGGGGAGACTCCAACAGGGCCCGGCGAGCGCACCTGAGACAGTTGCGAGAGACTGAGGAGTTATTTGGAGAGATAGAGGAAGTAGATCAGGCAAGCCGCGCGCACCTCCGACGCTTGTGCGAGATGGAAGCTCAACTCGAGGAAGTGCAGAAAATATCTTACGTGCCGCCCATTATTTTCGGTCCCCAGGACGAAGAAGGAATCAGGCAGCCGCATTCCGACGCACTGGTGATTACTGCCATGGTAGCAAACTTCGATATCGCGAGGATATTAGTGGACATCGGCAGTTCCGCTGATGTTATTTACTATGACTGTTTCAGAAAGATGAATATGGATTTTGAGTTAAAATATGTAGAGACAAGCTTGGTCGGGTTCTCGGGAGAGTCGGTACGGTCGGTCGGAGAGGTATGCCTGCCCATTTCTCTAGGAATGGAGCCGGTGCGAGCAACCCGATCCGTGAAGTTTTTGGTACTGGATGCGCCTTCTACCTACAACATCATATTGGGGCGACCGTCCATGAACTCATTTCAGGCAGTAGTCTCAACCTACCATATGAAGCTGAAATTTCCCGTCTTAGATCAAATCGGGGAGGTCCATGGGGGTCAGGAGACCTCGAGGAGATGTTATTACGACGCCTTGAGAAGAATAGGGAACATAGATGCTATTCGCACTGTCTCCCCAGGTAACCAGGGGAAGGAGGACCGGATGCCGGAAGTGGACCCCGCAAAAGAAGAAGCCCACGTGAAGCCGATGGAGGAATTAATGGTAGTCCAACTATGCGAGAAGGATGCCTCTCGCACCACCCGCATAGGTGGCGGTTTAGATACAGACATGTCTCGACAGCTGGTTGAGTTTCTAAGGCAGAATCAAGATGTGTTCGCATTCACTCCAGCAGATCTCGGGAGTATCGACGAGCAGCTCGTGGTGCACAGACTAAATGTCAAGCAGAATGCGAAGCCAGTCAAACAGAAGCGTCGGCATTTTGGAGCAGAGAAAGACAAAATTATACAGGAAGAAGTGCGGAAGTTGTTAGCAGCCGGACAGATCCGGGAGATCCGTTTTCCTTCTTGGCTGTCCAATGCAGTTTTAGTCAAGAAGGGCGAGGGCAAGTGGCGAATGTGCATTGACTTCAGGGATCTCAACAAAGCATGTCCCAAGGACTACTACCCTCTACCACGAATCGACCAGCTCGTAGACTCAACCGCCGGTTGCGAGATGCTAAGTATGATGGACGCCTCGCAAGGATACCATCAGATTCCATTGTGCCTTGGCGACCAGCCTAAGGTGAGCTTCATCACCTCCACTGGAACTTATTGCTACACGGTAATGCCTTTTGGGCTGAAAAATGCGGGAGCCACGTACCAGAGACTAGTAGAAAAAATGTCCAAGGACCAACTCGGAAGGAACATGGAGATATACGTGGATGATATGTTGGTGAAAAGTCAGAAGGCGAGTAATCATTTAGAAGATTTAAAGGAAACCTTTTGCACGCTCCGGCGCTACGGCATGAAGCTTAACCCCAATAAGTGTGCTTTTGGGGTGAAAACGGGAAAATTCCTGGGTCACATGGTAACGGAAAGGGGAGTAGAAGTGAACCCGGAGAAGGTGCAGGCGGTTTTGGATATGGAGGCACCACGAAATATCAAGGAGGTTCAAATGCAGGCGGGAAGAATAACAGCTCTAAGTAGATTCATATCTAAGGCGGGAGAGGCTAGTCACCCTTTCTTTAAAATACTAAGAAAGGGGACTCAATTCGAGTGGACGGAAGAATCAGAAAAAGCTTTCGAGCAGCTCAAGAGCCTGCTCGCTCGTCTCCCGCTGTTGGCGAAGCCCGTGCCAGGAGAAAAGCTGTATGTATATCTTGCGGTAGGCGAGTTCGCAGTCAGCTCGGTCTTCGCCCAGGAAGAGGAAGGAGTGCAAAGCCCGGTATATTATGCAAGTAAACTCTTGCGAGGGGCTGAGATGAGGTACTCCGAGATAGAAAAGATGGGTCTCGCGCTAGTGACGACAGCACGAAAGCTAAGACCCTACTTTATTTCGCACGCAATAGTGGTTCGGACTAACCACCCTATGAAGACAGTGATGGGAAGGATGGAAGTTTCGGGAAGAATGGTCAAGTGGGCAGTAGAGATGGGGCAGTTCGATATCAGCTACGAACCATGGATCGCCATAAAAGGGCAAGCCCTAGCAGATTTTCTGCAGGAAACAACGAGGCCAGAGGAGCAAGGAATATGGAGGGTGTTCGTCGATGGTTCGGCGAACGCATCGGGAAGTGGAGTAGGAGTGTTGCTGGCGGAGGCAGGCGAGGAGTTGGAGTATGCGATAAAGTTGCCTTTCAAAGCCTCAAATAATGAAGCAGAGTATGAAGCAGTTATACATGGGATGAAACTGGTATCTTCGGCCGGAGGCAGGAAGTTGAACATATTTTCGGATTCACAGCTAGTAGTACAGCAAGTCAAAGGCGAATTCGAGATAAAAAACGAGCGAATGATGGCTTATTGCGAGATAGTACGGTCGATGATGAGCGAGTTCGATTTCTGCGAGCTAGCTCAAATACCCCGAGAGGAGAACCAGCATGCTGATTTTCTGGCAAAGGTAGGAAGCATGGCGGTAGGATACGAGTCAAGGAAAATACAGTTGCTAGTGGGAGAGCCATGTAGCGGGGGCGAGGAGCGTGTTGCAACAGTGACAAGTGGGGAAGATTGGCGCACTGAAATCAGGGCGTGTCTACAAGGAAAGACGCTCGCAAGTGGCCGCGCCCGAAAGGTCCTGGAGCAGCGAGCAAGCAATTTCTGCCTAATCGGGGATATACTTCACAAAAGAGGTTACACTAGGCCGCACTTGAGGTGCCTATCTCTGGAAGAGGGCAGTTACGTGCTGCGCGAGGTTCACCAAGGATGCAGCGGGGACCATGCAGGAGGTAGAGCATTAGTCTCGCGGGTACTAAGGGCAGGATATTTTTGGCCCACCTCGAGGAAAGACGCGGGGCAGTTTGTCAAGAGATGTGATAAGTGCCAGAGGCATGGCCCACTGATTCACACGCCGGGAGAGGATATGACGATAATAACTTCCCCTTATCCTTTTGCACAATGGGGAATAGATATCGTGGGCCCCATGCCGCTCGCCAAGGGGCAGAGAAAGTTCTTAATAGTTGCTGTAGATTACTTCTCCAAATGGGTGGAGGCGGTGGCAGTGGCCAGAATAACGGATACAGAGGTCATGAAATTCATATGGCAAAATATCTGCTGCCGATATGGGTTGCCTAGGGATCTCATCTCAGATAATGGAACACAGTTTAACTCAGCCAAGATACGGGGATGGTGTGCAGGTCTGGGTATCAAGCAGAGATTTGCGGCCGTGGCCCACCCGCAGGCGAACGGTCAGGTCGAGGTGATCAATCGGGTACTGTTAGAAGGAATAAAGAAGCGTTTGGAGGGAGCAAAAGGAAATTGGGTCGAGGAATTGCACGCGGTATTATGGGGATATCGAACATCACTGAAAGAAGCGACAGGAGAAAGTCCCTTCTCATTGGTGTACGGGTCGGAAGCTGTCATACCAGTCGAGGTAGGAATGCCGTCTAGCAGAATTATGAATTTTCATGAAACAGCTAATAGCATGCGCTTGCGCGAGGAGCTGGACTTGGTAATGGAAAAGCAACAGAGCGCGAGAGGAAGGATGGAGCTCAGCAAAGCCAAAATTAAGGCAGCCTATGACAAGAAAGTAAGGTAGAGAGTCTTTCAAGTAGGGGACTTGGTCTTAAAACAGGCGGATGCCCTCAAAACGGTGGGAAAGCTAATGGAGAAATGGGAAGGACCATATAAGGTGGTAGCGGTTCTCGTAGGAGGAGCTTACATGTTGGAAGATATGAATGGCTTAAGGATAGCCCGCGCATGGAACGTGTGCCATCTGAAGCGCTACTATATATAGTGCTAGTGTGTTATAACACTTTGTATTATAAGTATAGGCCATATTTTTGATTGTTCATCCGTCTGTCTGCAGAATGAGCCATGTTTTTTTTTTTTTGGAAAAAATGTGGTGGCCTCTTTTGAAAAACCTGGTGTCTTGAAGAAGCTATAAATACTTACTCGCACATAAGCAAGCGAGCAGGATTACGATTGAGCGACAAGTAAAAAAAAAAAAAAAAAAAAAAAAAAAAAAAAGAAAGAATATTTGGATTTTTTCCAATATGAAGTTTGCGAGCGAGCATTTGCATCAAGCAAATCTCGCTAGAAAAGCGAGAAAGAAAGTTAGAAAATATTTGGAATCTTTCCAATATGAAGTTTGCGAGCGAGCATTTGCATCAAGCAAATCTCGCTAGAAAAGCGAGAAAGAAAGTTAGAAAATATTTGGAATCTTTCCAATATGAAGTTTGCGAGCGAGCATTTGCATCAAGCAAATCTCGCTAGAAAAGCGAGAAAGAAAGTTAGAAAATATTTGGAATCTTTCCAATATGAAGTTTGCGAGCGAGCATTTGCATCAAGCAAATCTCGCTAGAAAGCGAGAAAGAAAGTCAGAAAATATTTGGAATCTTTCCAATATGAAGTTTGTGAGCGAGCATTTGCATCAAGCAAATCTCGCTAGAAAAGCGAGAAAGAAAGTTAGAAAATATTTGGAATCTTTCCAATATGAAGTTTGCGAGCGAGCATTTGCATCAAGCAAATCTCGCTAGAAAGCGAGAAAGAAAGAATATTTGGAATCTTTCCAATATGAAGTTTGCTAGCGAGCATTTGCATCAAGCGAATCTCGCCCGAATGCGAGAAAGAAAGAATATTTGGAATTTTTCCAATATGAAATTTGCGAGGGAGCATTTGCATCAAGCAAATCTCGATAGAAAGCGAGAAAGAAAGAATATTTGGAATTTTTCCAATATGAAGTTTGCGAGCGAGCATTTGCATCAAGCAAATCTCGCTAGAAAGCGAGAAAGAAAGTTAGAAAATATTTGGAATCTTTCCAATATGAAGTTTGCGAGCGAGCATTTGCATCAAGCGAATCTCGCTAGAAAGCGAGAAAGAAAGTTAAGAAAATATTTGGAATCTTTCCAATATGAAGTTTGCAAGCGTGCATTTGCATCAAGCGAATCTCGCAAGAAAGCGAGAAAGAAAGTTAAGAAAATATTTGGAATATTTCCAATATGAAGTGTGCGAGCAAGGATTTGCATTGAGCAAACCTCGCTAGAAAGTTAGAAAATATTGGAAGTATTTCCATTACGGAATTTGCGAGAGAAAATATTTGGAATATTTCCAAATATGAAGTTTGCGAGTGAGCATTTGCATCAAGCAACTCGCTAGAAAACAAGCAAGAAGATATTGGGAATATTTCCAATACTAAGTGCAAATTTCAAATACTAAGTGCGAACAAGAATTTGCATCAAGCAAACCTCACGGGAATGCGAGAAAGACAGTTAGAAAAATACTTGATGTTTCCAAAAAGTCATAATAAAACTCAAAAGCATGAAATGTAAAAATAAGAATGTAACATAATAAACTCAAACGATAGATAATGAAAATATCCAAATAAAAATTAACATTGTTCAGAAAGGGAAAAAACAGATTGTTCAAAGTTGCTACGAATGAAGAGAAAATATAAAGGCCTCAAGAAGGAGGGATATCAGGAAGGGTAGAGGCAGAACATGTAGGATCCAGGCGAGCCATATTAGAGGGGGCTTGTGCGGCGTACTTGTTCAGCTCTGCGAGCAGTCCCTCGAGCACCCCAGCCCACCAGGCGTAATCCACGGGCTCAGTAGGATTTCCCTCCCAGCCGGGGATCTCATCTCCCAGCAAGTCAAGGATGGAGCTTATCTCCTCCGAGGGGTCATCAAGATTATGGCGAGCTGCATACATACGGATACCTCGGTCCATGAAGCCCATACCTATTGGAGCCGCTGCGTTGGCAAAATGTGCGGACGAAGGATACTTGCGGGTCAGGCCCTCGCGATACGCTCGCAGGAAGTCTTGCCCATCTATCGAGCACAGATGGTCGTACAAGCTCCTCGCGCGTTCCAGTGCGACAGTCCTCATGCACTCCGCTTCCACCACCTCCTGTTTCTGCCGTGAAATAGCGATCAACTGCTCCTTTTCGGCCTGAAGGCGAGCGACCTTGCTCTCAAGAGAGGACTTCATCGCATTATACTTCTCATTATTTAGGCGAGCGGTCTCATCTCTCTCGTTCGCCAACTCGCGGACCATGTCTTGCAGGCGGGTGACCTCATTGGCCTTCTCGCTAGCTAATCTTTTCATGAAGGCAAGCTCTTCGGCTAGGCGAGTAGGGTCTGTTGAGCCAAGACCATGAGCGAGAAGGACGTTGATCTGAAACAGCATGAAACGAGGCGTAAGTATAAATATGCAAGCTGCGAGACGAGATAAAATTGCACTCACCTGGGAGCAATGGAATAGCAGTCGGGAGTATTGCTGCTCATGGGACATGCGCTCGAGCGCCTGCGCGTCCTCCACAAGCTTCAGCTGGTCGAAGTGTTGGGATAGTTCATCAACGCTGCGGTCAGGAGAAAGGGACGAAAGGAAGCCCTTGTCCGCAGGGCGGTGTCGCTTGGACATCGTAGAAGTATGTTCTCCACTTGCATCTCGCTTGGGGCGGCCGACGTCGTAGGGCGCCTGCTCCAGCGAGCGAAAGGAATCATGAGCCTCTTGGTTATCGGCATTTTCGCTACCGATATCGATAACGGGTTGCCAAACAACGGAGGGGGGAGGAGCAGTGTGGGTCTCTCGCCGTGACTCCGGGCGAGAGCCTGACCCCGTCGCCGCGCTAGTGGCCGCCTCAGGGGAGGGTGTGGAATCCGGAGGGGCATGGCTCGTGGACTCAGAGGGGGTGCGGGAAGACTGGGCGCGCTGCATGGCGAGAGCCGCTTTCATAGCTTCTCGAATCATCTCGCCTGTTTGAAAAATACATGGAAAACAAGCAAGGGTTAACGATTATTTAAGGTGGAATAAATTAAAATAATAACAAACATGGAAATTATCCCTAATAAGTACCCAGCGGGCGAGGGTCAGACGAAGACATATCCCACAGTCCAGTGCGAGCAAAAAGAGAGGGGCTAGCTACTATCTTTTCAACATCCCACAATTGGGGAGGGGTGCGGGCAGTTAGCCGAGATAGTACCTCCAAGCAGGCGGGAGACACCCCAACAGGGCGAGGGGCTGTCTCAACATATGACGGATCAAAGCCCCAAGAAGTGGGCGAGCGAATAAATAAAAAACGTTTGGGCCAATTATGTACTTTGTTAGTCAAACCTTTAAAAAGACCTACGCCGGGGCGAGCTGTAAGATGAAAAAAGCCAGACGGAGATCGATTCACCTTGAAGGCAGAATGGAACAGCTCGCCGGAGGGAGTTACGGAGGCCTCGGCACAGATAATAAAAAAGGCTGACATAAACTTAATAGAGTTAGGAAGAAATTGATTGATGGGCACGCGAAATTTGCGTGCCACATCTAAGAAAAAAGGGTGAACGGGCAGCGATAAGCCCGAGAGTAGTTGATCAATATGCCAGGTCATATAGCCAGGAGGAGGGTGAAGGGAGTCTTGCGAGGGTGAAGGAAGAGCTAGATCGTAGGAAACGTCTATCCCTTGACGCTCGAGTAGGTCGCCAATGTCGTCGGGGTTAAGAATCAAATGTTGAGGGTTGGTCAAAATACAAACGGAGGGTTCCCTCACTTTCGGAACCCTGACTACCCCCTTCTCGCCGCCAGAGGGGGAGGTCGCATCATCCCCCCCTTTACGTTGCGAGAGGAGGGGGGCTTTGCCTTTCTCCTTCTTCTGGCGAGCAGAAGTGGCCGGTGGGCCTCGGGATTTGGAAACCACGGCCCTCTTTTTGGGCCTATTTCTCTGTTCTGACGGAGGTCCGAGGCGAATTACAGGGGTACGAATCTCCCCCGAGGAAGAAGATGAAGACTCGGAGGACATGGAGTAGAAACGAAGGGGGAGAAACACAAATAAAACTAAAGAGAAACAGAAAAGCAAAAACGAAAAGTATGTACCTGGATGAAAGGGAAGAACCGGAGGAAGGGAAAAGCAATTTTCTCACGCCGGAGAAAGGAAGAGAAAAAAGAAGGAAAGGCTGAAGGAGGAGTGAAAGGAGAAGAATGGGGAGGACCCCCTTTTTATAGTCAGGATATAGGGATTTGAAGGGACCCGCCTGCACCGCATTAATGGGGAGAGGGCGGTGCAGGCGGCGTTTCAACTTCCAAAAAAAAAAAAAAAAAAAAAAAAAAAACAAAAAAGGGAAACGAAATTAATTAAATTCAGATATTTAATTTTAATTACTAGGAATTTGTGCGGTTTTTTCGGCTACGGAATGTGAAACGATGCACGTTATCTGAAGCAGTGCAAATGGGTTATGCTGAGATGCGGGTCGCTAGAGCGGGATACATGTTGTCTCTCGCAAAGGAGCAACTCGCAGCCACTAGTATCAAGTCACAAGTAGCCGCGAGTGGGGGACTAGTTGATCCAGCCCGATATCGCTTGATAGATCCAATAAAGACCAAAGGCCCAAATGAGGTCAAAAGGCCCCATTAGGCCCATCAACGGGGAGGGCCCATCAAACAGCTATTCGGTAGGCGAGAGGGATCACGCAGTGGGTCGCGAGCAGCCCACGTGCGAGAGGTCTCTCGCCCTCTCGCTCTCTCGCCAAGCCTCCGAGAGGGATCACCCAGTGTGTCGCGAGCAGCCCACGTGCGAGAGGTCTCTCGCCCTCTCGCTCTCTCGCCAAGCTTCCCGCCGCCCGCCGGGGGTGATCATTGCTGCACATGGGGGAATTTAATGCACGTCCAATCCACTGACAAGAGCAGAGGAATGTCGTTTCGGCCGCTACTTTTTGCCTCTGTCGCCGCCAATGAAGTGACAGATTAAACCGCATTGAAGGTAATTTGAGGTCCGGATGCTTAATTACCGCGATGAGACAGGTAAATTAAATTGAAGAGTATTTGACGTCCGTCCCCTTTTTTAGTATAAATAGGGGCAGTAAATACAGGAAAAAGGAACGAAATCATATACATAAATTACATACAGAAGCATAAAATCTTCTTCAGGAAGTTACTGACTTGGCCGTCGGAGTGCTAACTCCGGCCTAAGTCCGGTTCTTTTCTTTCTTGTAGGTTTACCGTGGGCTCCGGTCCAAGTTCAGGCCTACTTAACTTTCCAAACCAGCCCACCACGAATCCAGCCGGATCACATGGGGGTGAGTAGAATGAAAGTGGGTGAGGAAGATTGCATCGGAAGCCGCATGGAGTTGGTGTGAGTCTATTCCTATTGTGATGTTCTTAGAACCCTTTTGTGATTAGTCATACATAAGAATTAGATGCTCATAAAAAAATTAATGTCTTGGCAGGCTACTTTTGTATCCTAAATTTGCTTTTCTGCTTGGAATAGAGAAACTTCGTCAGTGTTGCCCGACATGGTTGCTTCTTGAGCAATTCCTTCTGTGACATCATAACTGGAAGGTACAAATTTAAGTTGCTTTTGTTTAGAAAGGTTATTCGTATCTGCAAATTTGTATTTTAATCATGGTTGTTCTCTGATTAAATCATTGTAAAAAATACGAATGAGTTCAGTGATTCAGGCTAGGAACTTCATTGGTTGAACTGGTAGAATAGGACTGAGATCGTTAGGATTTTCTGCAATGGATTTTTCTTATACCTTACTACATGTGACAAAAATGCATTTGTATGTGGCTAGGAATATATATTTAAAATCTAAACGTACTTCATAATGTAACTTTATAATTAGAGGTTAAAGTTACTCTTCTCCTCTTGTGATATTGTGCGGCTTCTTCGGTCTTGTAATCTTAAAGCATAACATACAACAAGTCTAAATTGAAACAAGCAGGCATTGCCAAAATATTGTGCAACTTCAAATAAGAAAGAACGTTGTTAAGCCCCCAGTAATCTATTTATTCAAAATTTTACAAGAAATGATATAATTTTTAAACCTAAGCGTAATTGTTGCTTACAGGAGAGACTAATTTGGAAAATTTACTGCTGCAAGCTCTATATTACACATTTGCAGCCATTCTTACCATGTTTTTATTCAGTGGAAATATGCAGGGGATTCCATTCAAAGTGGTCCGGATAATATACGTGGCAGACGACCCTCTCACAACAAGGGCTCAACATCTGAAAGTAGATCTTCCAAACTCTTATTCAATGGGGTTGGATGGTCAAGACATCAATCACAGGGTAAAAAGGTCGCCAAAAACCTCCTCCCAAGTAAAAATAAGTTCGAGTATAAGCAGAATCCTGTTGAAAGGCATGTGGCTATTTCAAGTTCAGGAATGCAAGAACCTTGGTATTGGTTCCCTAGTCCTGCAGCTAGCTGGAATGGGCTAGATTTTTCTTGTCGTGCTGGTGGTTCAAAGGATGAACTTCCATGGAAAATTAGAGCATCAATCGTACAATCTGTTCGTGCACATCATGGTGCTCTGAGATCTTTTGTTGTTTGTCAAGATGAGTGTACGATATTCACGACGGGTGTGGGACCAGGATTCAAAGGAAATATTCAGAAGTGGGACTTGTCAAGAATCGATTGTGTATCAAGCTATAATGGGCATGACGAGGTTTGCTTCAGTTATCCCAATGGTTAGATAGCAATACTGTGTAATTACTTTTTTAGTTTGCATTCTCACCTCATACCTTTTTCTTCTCCTTTTTCTTCTCTTTTTTTTTTTCTTTTTGTGTTTTTCTTTTTTAGCTTACAAGAAAATAAGCAACCTTAAATTCAAAAACCTACAGCGAAGCAGTTAAAATAACTTGCAGTATTGCAAGTGGTCATTTTTTAAACTACCAAGTCTGCTGTTTAAAACTCTTTCATATCAAGTAAGGTTCCAGGACAATATTCTATTAGATTTTACTTCTCATAAGAAATGTATATTCTGATATATCTTATGATATGCCTGTCGCGTTGCATGTTTATCCATTTTGATGTTTTATATTCTCCGGAGACATGTTTCAATGACATCACAAGCAGTTATTTTTAATTGAGTTGAAGTGATGATTGATTCTAAACATGTTTCTTGGTTTCCATATGATGTAATTGCTTGTTCTAGAATGCTTTTATATCAATCCATAAACTTGCTAGTGGTCATTTCTTATGTATCTGTTATTGTCTTTTCGTTGTCAGGTTGTAAATGACATTTTTGTTATGGCATCCACCGGAAGAGTAGCTTCTTGTGATGGAACAGTACATATATGGAACGGACAAACTGGAAAACAGATTTCTGTATTTTCTGAGAGTTCTTCAACCTCCACACGGTTTGTGGAAAGGGATGAAGACAACATGCTTCATTTTTTTTTTTTTTTTTTTTTGATCGGTAAATGTGAAATATATAGATCAAAACGGACTTTACAAATACACTGGGCATACCCAGGTAGTGTAATCAAAAAAAATATATATCAATGCCTATACATGAACAAGACCCCACAGGTCAAATGCAAAACAAAGATCAAAAAACAATCAGGGATGCACGATTTGCAACGCTGATTGCGGAAACAAGGCAAAAACCGTCTTGTAAACGAGTATCTTGATCTTACGCACCATCTCAGCAATCCTAGGCGTCTCGTTCTCAACATGCTTCATTTTAATCCATTAACAAGTGGAATGCTTAGTACTCTATTTCATGGGAATTTGTACAGTGCCATGGACTACCTGGAATTCATCGATAGACTTGTCGTGGGTACTGGAAATGGAACTCTCAGGTAATTAAGCATTTATGAGACTTAATACTTTTTATGCTTATATGTGTCTTAGTTACTTGTATGGCCTCTAGATTCATTGATGTCAATCAAGGTCAGAAACTTCATATGTGGAAGAGTGAATCTGCTGATTCTTGTTTCCCTTCCCTTATATCATCCATATGCTCGTCTAGCTCTGTCAAAGTGCATGCTGAGGAAACTATTTCCTCTCCGTCCTGGATTGCAGCTGCAACCAGCACGGTTGCACTGGTTGTTTCAGGCTTTTTGACATGAGAAGTGGAAAAATTATTTCTTCATGGCAAGGTCATGATGGATATGTAAAAATACTGATTCACATACAATTTCAAATCCTTGTAGCTAGCTGTAGCTGCAGATCATCAGCTTGTTTCTAGCTCTCTTGACAAAACATTGCGAATTTGGGATTTGAGAAGGTATTTTATTTTTGTCACACCCGAGTAAGCCATAAGCTACTGGACTAATGCTGATGTATTTCTTTCCTCTGACCAAGTTCAGTTGAAGTTAGTTTATTTTATATTTGAAGTCTTTGCTTAGATCGTGGGGTGGAATGAGAATTTGAGTTAGATATTTAATTTAGTAGGTTGTACCTAATCTTATAACATGTAGCTAATGGAATCATGGTTTTGTAAAAACTAATTTGTCTCGAGGATGACATGTTTGTGAATGTTCACATGAACGGGACAGCCGAACATACAGTTTTCAGAGGTTACAGTGATGGAGCTAGTTACTGGCTTTTCAGTGTGGGGGCAAAACGTGATCTCTATAAGAAGAAATAAGATTGGCGTTTCTTCTTTACGATGAAGTACGTACTCAACTTGTCATGTTTTCTTTTTTTGTTTCTTGGACATTTTCCTTCTTCCTCTTCTTCTTTTCTAAGTTGTAGTGTTGTTATGTAATGGCACAGGAAGGCAAGCATCGAACAACCCCTCAACATCTATATACGGCAGATGGGGAATCAAAGAACGTGTCGGTGCTATCAGCCATTGGTATCTTGCCCTTTTCCCGCCTTTTCCTTGTTGGAACAGAGGATGGCCATTTGAAAATTTGTTGTTAGTTATACTTATTGTTCCATCTGTTCTTCAATTAAAAGAAATTCTAGTCAAATTGCATGGTCGTTCGTTACTTTGTGTATACAGAAGATAAGAAAGGATTATAAGTGAGGAAAATTCCAATATTTACTTACTGTACAATCACTATGTAACAAAGGGAGATAAGTGAAAGTTTGAATAGTACAACAAAAGTAAGCTATCGACGAACATGTATTATTATTACAGGGGACATATGTCATATTCACCCTAACATTTGTATTGAATTTGAATCAAGTAAACAATATGTTTCTCAAAAGAAGTTGAATTCGTCATCATCTCTGCTTTCAGATGTAGATTTGTCTAGAAACCCCTTCCATCAACAGCAAAAGATCTTGATTTATGTCCTAATAAAAATGAATCCCAGGGAAACCAGCTTTAAAGCATGAACCTCCATCCTCTTCTTTCCACAAGCAGCAATGACATATTATTACCAAGAACGAGGTTCTGCCATGGTTCCTCAATAGCAACATTTTCCATCATATCAATCTATCTCACCCTCATTAGTCATTCCCACATAAGCTAAGAACGATGGTACAAAGGCCAGTACAAAACAAGAATCAACACATGCCTCAATCAGCGACTGAAATGTATACATCATCAGCCTGGCAAATAGGAAGATGCTTTCATATCTCTTCAGGAATGTAGGCAAGTTTTATCCATCCATCCCACAGCGTGCAGCAAGCAAGAGCACCTCAAAAATTGGTCCAATTCTCTCTTGAACCATTTTATCAAGAAACCGACAAAACTTGCTCCTTCAGCATTTCAAGTACCTGATATTTGATGAGAATTTGTCACTAATGATTTTGTAATCACTAATCAGTTCATCGAATGCTTTACAGTAGTACAAAAAAAAGATAGCTATACGCCTCAAAGAAAAAGGAAAGAATGATATTAAACTGAAAAATTAAAATACCAAAATTATCATTTTTAAGTTATTTTAAAAATGTTGAGGGTAAAGGAAAAGGCAAACCTGGAAATGAATGCTCGTTTCTCTGTTAAGCCAGGGAAAAAAATTCACCAAGGCATAAGCAACTACTAAAAAACAGGTTTCAATACTTGAAGGAATCAAGAAAAAGGCCAAGGGAAAGGCCAGCCTTCCAATAATTGAAAATGATGATAAAGTCGCGTATGTTGTCGACTAAAGGAAGAGAAGCCTTGTACATAAGAGCCCCGATTCCCTCAACCACAGCAACTGTCAAACCAGCAGACAGTACATCCCAATCACCAGTTTGCCCTATTACAGTGGCAAAAGCAGTTGCACAATAGAATCCCACCAAGAAAGAGAATAATTTGACAGGCAGATTTTTTTGCAACTCCTTTAATCTGGCAACAATTTTGAACTGAATAGCTTGGAGAGTCCTAATAAGCCTCGTTCCCCCACTCGTTCCCCCACTGGAGTCATCAGCTGCACTTCTAAGAGACCATCCCATCCTCCTACTAGTATACAATTTGCTATTAAGTTTTTAACCATACTTGTTGTTATTATGTATCGAAATAATAAATAGGAATAACTAATGAAGATGGGGCTGGTACTCACTTGGTAAAAGGCCGATAAACATCAGAAAAAGTCAAGTGAAATGGTATCAATTTGCCCAATGAAAGAGCAGTAAGTAACCTTGGTTTAGAATCTTTATTATGTATCAGGAGGTTGAGACTTGTTAAATTGAAAGCTGATCTCATCATATTTGCGAACGAACACCTTCAACGCCACATCAAAGAACCATTAAAGCCTATCTATATATGTAGTTTCATGTTTAAACATAAATAAATCTTAAGATGAACAATTTAGAAAAGATTCAAAGTCGTGAGTGAACATAAATATATAAAGCCCAGTTGGGAAATTCATTCTTCAGACTTGATGAGATCATAGAGAGCATTCATTATTCTTCCCTAAAGTGAGTAATCAATCACTGTGTACAAACAGGAAATCAAACTATGGGTATTCCTAAAAGAACAAAAGGAAAAACAGTAAAGAGAAGAGTCCAAGTACCTGATGGTAGCCGGAGATACGACGGCGAAGGGTTGAGTAATAATCAAACGGACGGCAGGGCCAATATGTTCGCCTCTATTGCTTTCCTTTTTGGGGATTATATATAGTATAATATATTATTACACGGACTTATTATTATAAAGGATTGAAACTCAAATGACATGCCACCACATGTATTTTTCCGTTATTAAGTAATGACATGCCACCACATCTCAAATTTGATTCCAGTTTTTTTTTTTTTTAATGCAATTAATTAGTTGTTATACAATGTTTGGTTTTGGGAAATTGAAAATTTGTGCTTGTTTTGAATTTCTAAACTCCTCTCAATTATACTTGCTCAAAATAGATCAAAGCAAGCCTCAAAGCGAGAAAGTTGAACATTTAAGGCAGGGGTCGTCTAGTTGATGGAGCAAGAGAGTACAGTGTTCGAATCGAACCCTTACCACACTTAGGTCATGCCGACTCAAGAGGCAGAGTCCCAGAGCAGTATGTATGTGTGCTCTAGTCTAGTATGTTTTATCACGTCAATCATCTTCACGTAAAACATGAAATACAAGTCTAGGAGTGGAAATCGGACGGATCGGATCGGATTTGGGTGTTTCGGAAAATTTTCGATTTTTTTCGGAAGTGCTTAACGCCTTCCGATTCCGATTCCGATTTTTTCGGAATTCAAGAATTGATTCCGATTCCGATTTTTTCAGAATTTTCGGAAAATCGGATTTTTTGGAAATTTTCATTTTCGGAATTTTCGGAATTTTTCGGGAATTTTTCCAAAAAAAAAAAAGGGAAAAATTGATCACCACACAGTAGCCAAATTGCAAAAAGAAACATCAAACAAGTAATCTTCACAAATACAAGAGACTCACACAAATACGTTGGTGGTGGTCGTCGGAGAGCCGGGAGGCGCTGGTGGTGGTGGTCTTCAGAGAGCCGGGATGCCTGGTGGCGATGGTGGTGGTTGGAGAATCGGGAGGCGCAAGTTGTGGTGGTCGTCGGAGAATTGGGAGGCGCTGGTGGAGGTGGTGGTCGTCGGAGAGCCGAGATTCACTACTGGTAGTGGTCGGCGGAGAATCGGGAGGCACTGGTGGTCGTGGTCGTCGGAGAAGGCGCTGCTGGTGGTGGGGAGAAAGAAAGGTCGATGACTGCTGCTAGAGAGAGAGTCGGAGAAAGAAGGGTTTCTAAGTAATTCTAATAAATTTTGAGTTTTGACTTTTGTAAGTTTTAGAAAATTAAAAAATAATAATATGTCCAAATATATATATATATATATATATATATATATATATATATATATATATATATACTAGTGTAGAGCACCGCGCAATGCGCGGTGCCGGTGCCTAAGAACTTATCGTATTATGTATTTTTTAGGCTGCATTTTGTTTTATTTTTTTTACGATTAGGCAAAATTTGTGTCGAATGTGGCGATGGGAAGTGACGATTTGAAGTTGTCTACGGAGGGTGTTGTGGGGTCCACTCCCTTAGAAACAAGGGAATTTGCTGGTGCACAAATGATTGTCAAAATATAAACTCGTTTCTGTGTTAACGAAAGCTAATTAATCAGGAGTTAATTTTTCTTCCTTCCGTTAAAGGCTATCTGAATGACGGCGCGTGCGATGCGAAATAGGTATATAATATAGGGACCAAAAATCGTAAAAATTGATCGATTTGTTGATATTTAAGATTTATTTTAACATTTGAATTGACATAGATAAGAATGAATTGAATCGTAAGATTTGAATCGTAAATCATAAGATTGTATACTCGTTATTGCGAATTTTCGTAAATGTGGCGGATATTGAAAGAGAGATCCACTTTGGGGTCAAAATTGCAATTTGGGTGGAGCGGATAGGAAGATGGAGTAAGTATAAGGGTTATTCTGCAATTTTCAGAACTGTTTGAGCCAGGGAGGTGGATTTTTTGAAATTACAAATTGACCTCCACTTGGGGGATTTCCGGTTTAAGGACCAAAATTAAAAATGGTATATAATATAGGGACAAAAATGTAATTATCACAAGTTTATTATAAATAACATAATAAATTATTTTTTTCATAAATCGAAATTGTACAATTTGATCGTCTTGTTGCTATTTAAGATTTATTTTAACTTTTGAATCGACTTAGGTATAAACGGATTGAATCGTAAGATTTGAATCGTAAATCATAAGATTCTAAACTCGGTAATGCGAATTTTCGTAAATGAGTCACACGCGATTATAGTTGAGGAGGACTTGAAGCATACTGCGTTGGTGGCGGATATTTAAGATATTGCAAGAGAGATCCACTTTGGGGTTAAATATGCAATTTGGGTGGAGCGGCTAGGAAGATGGAGTAAGTATAGGGGTGATTCTGTAGTTCTCAAAATTGTTTCGGCCAGGGAGGTGGATTTCAAAAAATTACAAATTGACCTCCACTTGGGGTGCATTTCTGGTTTAAGGACCAAAATTAAAAAGAGGTATAATAATATAGTGACCAAAAATCGTAAAATTTGATCGATTTGTTGATATTAAAGATTTATTTTAACATTTGAATCAACATAGATATGAATGAATTGAATCGTAAGATTTGAATCGTAAATCATACGATTTTATGCTCGGTATTGCGAATTTTCATAAATGTGGCGGATATTTTGGATATTGAAAGAGAGATCCACTTTGAGGTCAAATTTGCAATTTGGGTGGAGCGGTTAGGAAGATTGAGTAAGTATAGGGTGATTATGCAATTTGCAGAACTGCTTCAGCTAGGGAGGTGGATTTTCTGAAAGGCTGCGACTATATGCAATACTAATTTCACTTGTGCCAGACCAAATTAAAGATTCCAAAAGATTCTATTTTATTAAGATGAAATGACAAATATACTCATAAATTAAATTGGTTTTTTTCTCATGCAAGATCAAATACAAATAATGAGGAAAAAAAAACATAGATGCGTGAATTAAACCATCCCCCCAAACCCTACCTATGCCCACCTACGCCCACCTTCTCCGTCGTCAAAGCTCCACCTCTCAAGCTCCACCACTGATCGCCGTCGCCGCCAGCCCCGCCGCTCACAATCATGAAACTGGTAAAAATTTGACAGTAAAACCTTACAAAAAAAGAGGAAAAACAAATTAAATTTGAAACTGGTAAAAATCGACACCAAGGTGTCGAAAAACTATGTTACAAATCGACACTTACGCGTCGAATTTTATAGGCAGAAATCAACACTGACATGTCGAATTTATAGCACAAATTCGACATTGCCAAATGTCGAATTTGATACCTCAAAATCGACATCTAAATGTCGATTTTTACCCATAAAATTCGACCTGTACATGTCGAATTCGTTTGTGCGGGATTTTTTTTGGAAAAACGATATTCTAGCTAAAAAATCCATAAATGCATACCTTATTGGGTTCTTTCACCGTAGAATCTTCTATTTTGATGTCTTCTAACTCCATACTTGCCATCTTTGTAAAATTTGTTGAGTTTTGATGATTTTGAATGTTTAGGTTTTGTGGGTTTATGGAGGAGGAATGAGAAAGGTCTTGTGGTTTTTGGAAGATGGAGAAGATGAAAGTTGGTCTTGTGGTTTTGTGGTCTTGTGATAGGGTTTTTTTGTGTTTTTGAATTTTTGGTCTTGCACATTTGAAATTTTCTATTTTTTTTAACAAATAAGGGTATTATAGTGTTTATACATTGAAAATTTTAATTTGGTCTTGCACAAGTGGTTTTAGTCTTGTATGTAGCCGCAACCTTTCTGAAATTACCAATTGATCTCCACTTGGGGGCATTTCCGGTTTAAGGACTAAAACTAAAAATGGGATATAATATAGGGACCAAAATAGTAATTATAATACGTTAAACCAAAACTAAAAATGGGGCATAATATAGGGACCAAAATAGTAATTATAACACGTTAATTATAAATAATATAATAAATTATAGTTTTCTTAAATCGTAAATCGTAAAATTTGATCGTTTTGTCGATATTTAAGATTTATTTTAACATTTGAATCGACTTAAGTATGAATAATTGAAACGTAAGATTTGAATCGTAAATCATAAGATTTTAAACTCGGTATTGCGAATTTTCGTAAATGAGTCACACGCGATTACAGTTGAGGAGTCGAAGCATACTGCGTTGGTGGCAAATATTTCGGATATTGCAAGAGAGATCCACAGTGGTGTTAAATTTGCTATTTGGGTAAAACGACTGGAAAAATGGAATAAGTATAGCGGTGATTCTGCAATTTTCAAAACTGTTTCAGTCAAGGAAGTGGATTTCCATAAATTTCAAATTGACCCCCTCTTGGGGTGCATTTCTTGTTTAAGGACAAAAATTAAAAAAAAAACAAAAAAACAAAAAAAAAAACAATGTAGGTTATATAGGGACCAAAAATCGTAAACTTTGATCGATTAGCTGAAATTTAAGATTTATTTTAACATTTGAATTGACGTAGATATGAATGAATTGAATCGTAAGATTTGAATCATAAATCATAAGATTTTATGCTCGATATTGCGAATTTTCGTAAATGTGGCGGATATTGAAATAGAGATCCACTTTGGGGTCAAATTTGCAATTTGGGTGGAACGGCTAGGAAGATGGAGTAAGTATAGGGGTGATTCTACAATTTTCAGAGCTATTTCAGCCAGGGAGGTGGATTTTCAAATATGTACAAATTGACCTCCACTTGGGGGCATTTCCAGTTGAAGGACCTAAATTAAAATTTGTATATAAATAGGGATCAAATATGTAATTATCGCAAGTTTATTATAAATAATATAATAAATTAAAGTTTTCTTAAATTGTAATTCGTAAAATTTGATCATTTTGTTGATATTTAAAATTTATTTTAACTTTTGAATCGACTTAAGTATGAACAGACTGAATCGTAAATCATAAGATTTTAAACTCGATATTGCGAATTTTCGTAAATGAGTCACACACGATTATAATTGAGGAGAGTCAAAGCATACTGCGTTGGTGGCAAATATTGCAAGAGATATCCAATTTGGGGTCAAATTTGCAATTTGGGTAGTGCGGCTGGGAAGATGGAGTAAGTATATGAGTGATTCTGCAATTTTCAAAATTGTTTCAGCCAGGGAGGTGGACTTCCAAAAATTACATGACCCCCACTTGGGGTTCATTTTTTATTTAAGGATCAACATTATAAAAAAAATGTATAATAATATAGGGACCAAAAATCGTAAAATTTGATCAATTTGTTGATAGTTAAAATTTATTTGAACATTTAATTTGAATCGACATAGATATGAATGAATTAAATCGTAAGATTTGAATCGTAAATCATAAGATTGTATGCTCGTTATTGCGAATTTTAGTAAATGTGGCGGATATGTTGATAGTGAAAGAGAGATCCACTCTTTGGAGTCAAATAAGAAATTTGGGTGTAGCGGTTAGGAAGATGGACTAAGTATAGGGTTGATTCTGCAATCTTCACAACTATTTCAGCCAGGGATGTGGATTTTCGGAAATTACAAATTAACCTCCACTTGGGGGCATTTCCGGTTTAAGGACAAAAATTATAAATGGTATATAATATAGGGATCAAAACTGTCATCATCACAAGTTTATTAAAATTAATATAATAAATTAAAGTTTTCTAATATCTTAAATCATAATTTGATCGTTTTGTTGATATTTAAGATTTATTTTAACTTTTGAATCGACTTAGGTATGAACGGATTGAATCGTAAGATTTGAATCGTAAATCATAAGATTTTAAACTTAGTATTGCGAAATTTCGTAAATGAGTCACAAGCGATTACAGCTGAGGAGCAGTAGAAGCATACTGTGTTGGTGGCGGATATTTCGGATATTGCAAGAGAGATCCACTTTGGGGTTAAATTTGCAATTTGGGTGGAGCGGCTGGGAAGATGGAGTAAGTATAGTTGTGATTCTGCAATTTTCAAAATTGTTTCAGCCAGGAAGGTGGATTTCCAAAAATTACAAATTGACCCCCACTTGGGGTGCATTTCTTTTTTAAGGACCAAAATTAAAAATAAAAAAAAATAAAAAAAGGTTTAATAATATAGGGACCAAAAAATGTAAAATTTGATCGATTTGTTGATATTTAAGATTTATTTTAACATTTGAATCGACATAGATATGAATGAATTGATTCGTAAGATTTGAATCGTAAATCATAAGATTTTATGCTCGTTGTTGCGAATTTTCGTAAATGTGGCGGATATTTTGGATAGTGAAAGAGAGATCTACTTTGGGTTCAAATTTGCAATTTGGGTGGAGCGGAAGATGGAGTAAGTATAGGGATGATTATGCAATCTTCACAACTATTTAAGCCAGGGAGGTGGATTTTCGGAAATTACAAATTAACCTCCACTTGGGGGCATTTCCGGTTTAAGGACCAAAACAAAAAAAATGTATATAATATAGGGACCAAGACTGTAATTATCATAAAAATAATACAATAAATTAAAGTTTTCTTTGATCGTAAATTGTAAATTTTGATCGTTTTGTTGATATTTAAGATTTATTTTAACTTTTGCATCGACTTAGGTATGAACGAATTGAATCGTAAGATTTGAATTGTAAATCATATGATTTTAAACACGGTATTGTGAACTTGCATAAATGAGTCACGTGCGATTATAGCTGAGGAGTAGAAGCACACTGGGTTGGTGGCGGATATTTCGGATATTGCAAAAGAGATCCACTTTGGGGATAAATTTGCAATTGGGCTGGAGCGGATAGGAAGATGGAGTAACTATAGGGGTGATTCTGAATTTTTAAAATTGTTACATTAAGGGAGATGGATTTCCAAAAATTACAAATTGACCCCCACTTGGGGTGCATTTATAGTTTAAGGACCAGAATTAAAAAATATATATATAATAATATATGGACCAAAAATCGTAAAATTTGATCGATTTGTTGATATTTAAGATTTATTTTGACATTTGAATCAACATAGATATGAATGAATTGAATCGTAAAATTTGAATCACTAATCATACGATTTTATGCTCGGTGTTGCGAATTTTCATAAATGTGGCGGATATTTTGATATTGAAAGAGAGATCCACTTTGGGGTCAAATTTGCAATTTGGGTGGAGCAGTTATGAAGATTGAGTAAGTATAGGAGTGATTATGCAATTTTCAGAACTGCTTCAGCTAGGGAGGTGGATTTTCGGAAATTACCAATTGATCTCCACTTGGGGGCATTTCCGGTTTAAGGACCAAAATTAAAAATGGGATATAATATAGGGACCAAAATAGTAATTATAACACGTTAATTATAAATAATATAATAAATTATTGTTTTCTTAAATCGTAAATCGTAAAATTTGATCGTTTTGTCGGTATTCAAGATTTATTTTAACATTTGAATCGACTTAGGTATGAATAATTGAATCGTAAGATTTGAATCGTAAATCATAAGATTTTAAACTCGGTATTGCGAATTTTCGTAAATGAGTCATACACAATTATAGCTGAGGAGTCGAAGCATACTGCGTTGGTGGCTGATATTTCGGATATTACAAGAGAGATCTACTTTGGTGTAAAATTTGCTATTTGGGTGGAACGGATGGGAAGATGGAGTAAGTATAGCGCAATTCTGCAATTTTCAAAATTGTTTCAGTGGATTACCTGAAATTACAAATTGACCCCCACGTAGGGTGCATTTGTTTAAGGACCAAAATTAAAAAAAAATGTATGTAATTCTCAAATCGTTATTCGGAAACAGTACAAACCTAAAAAGAAAACTTAAACGCACGCCACGAACATGATAAACAGTTCAAAAAATTATGCGACGTACAATAAAATTTTTGGTTTTCAATTTTACCAACAGGTATTAAAATACGAGAAAGATCGAATTACAAGTGTCTACATACATAAAACTGTGAATACCTTCACGTGCTTGAAATCTTTTTGTAATCTGATATATAGGAAATTGAAAAACAAGAAGAAAATAATAAATGGGAAAACAGAGAATGAATATGAGGTGAACGTGTGATTCCTCACCTGATTTTGTTGCATTCAAAAGTTCTGAAAATGCAATTATACGATCCAGTTGCTTAAATTAAAGACCTAATAGCCCCAACTACGAAAACAAATATTCATAGAAGAGAGGGAGGGCTTTTTGCGATCGAGCAGCGATTTCATCCGCTTTCCTGAACAAAAGCAACAATCATAGAAGGAAATAGGGAAGGCCTTTTGAGATCGAGCAGCAATTCATCCACTTCCCTGAAGCACCAATATGCGCAGAGAAAATTGGAAAATATGAGAACACAAATCGAAAACCGCCGGAATGTGTGCCTCGTGTGTCCAGTCGACGGAGGCCGGGAAATAAGGATTTGGTGGAGAGAGGGAGCAAAAAATTTGAAGGATAATGTACAAGAAGTAAATCGTAAGGAAAAAAATACAAATATAAGAGGCATAAATCAAAGTAATATAAAGAAGTCCAACGTCAAACGAAGTCGTCGGAAGCGCAAAGCTACTCGACAGAGTGGCGCCGTCTACAGATGTGGACGAACTCAACTCCAGCTGAGAATTCACTCGGCCGAATAAAATCAACTATAAGAATGTTTTGAGAATACTCTTATATACCATTTTTAATATTGATCCTTCAACCGGTAATGCCCCCGAGTGGGGGTCAATTTGTAATTTCTCGAAACCCACCTCCCTAACTGAAATAGTTTTGAAAATTGCAGAATTACTCCTATACTTACTCCATCTTCCCACCACCTCGGTTGTAATCACGTGTGACTCATTTACGAAAATTTGCAATACCGAGCCTAAAATCTTATGATTTAAGCTTCAAATCGTATAATTCATTTCATTCATGCCTAAGTCGATTCAAATGCTAAAATAAATCGCAAGACATCGATCAAATTTTAAGATTTACTATTTAACAAAACTTTAATTTATTATAATATTTATAATAAACTTGGGATGATTACAGTTTTGGTCCTTCAACCGGAAATGCCCCCAAGTGGGGTCAATTAGTAATTTCTGAAAATCCACCTCCCTTACTGAAACAGTTCTGAAAATTGCAGAATCACCGCTATACTTACTCAATCTTCATAACCGCTCCACCCAAATTGCGAATTTGATCCCAAAGTGGATCCCTCCTGTAATATCCGAATATCCACCAGGAATGCAACATGCTTCAACTCCTCCTCAACTGTAATCGAGTGTGACTCGTTTGCCAAAATTCGCAATACCGAGTTTAAAATCTTATGATTTACAATTCAAATCTTACGATTCAATTCATTCATACCTAAGTTGGTTGATTCAAATGATATCGATTAAATTTTACGATTTACGATTTAAGAAAACGTTAATTTATTATATTATTTATAATAAACTTGGGATAATTACAGTTTTGTTCCGTATACTATATATAGTTTTAAATTTTGGTCCTTAAACCGGTAATACCCCAAGTGGGGGCCAATTTGTATTTCTGGAAATAAAGGTAGAGCTACTAAAGGAAGGGTATACTAAAATCGACAATAAGGCACATGATACACAGATGAAAAGAAGTGGTGCCACAAACAGCGGCGATAATTCGATCAAAATAAATTGAGAAAATTAATACCCCGCACACCCTAAAAAATGAAGTAGAGGACAAAGTGGAGCTGCAAGCTTATGGAAAACAAAAATAAGCAACGAAAGGAAGATAACCCAGTCGAAATGGAAAGCTAATTCAACCTGTGGTCTTGCAAATCAGAAAGAAGAGTAACAGAGAAAAACTCCAAATGTGTTGGGGAGTTTTAAGAAATAAAGACAATTTTACAGTACCAAAATTGCTTGGTATAAATTGTAAAAGGACGAGAAATAAGCTACATCGTTTACGCTAAACTCTATTTTTGTCAATGAAGGCCGCCATTGTATATGACATTAACGGTAGGTAATAGCTACACTTACGAAAACAGTAGCCTAACGATTGAAATAAACAAATAAATACATCTGTGGCCTTTTTTAGCTACGAAGTTAGTGAAGGGGTACTGCAGGAATTTGTCTTGTAATGGACCATTCTGCAAAGCAGACAATTTCCAAATCTCTGTAACTGGACAAGGACAACGTAATATGCCTGGACAACGTAATATGTCTGCACACAGAAAATGCCGCATACATACACACATACGAAAATCCATCATAGACGTAACCCACACAAAAGAACTCAAAACTGCAAATCTTTTAATATATATAATGAAAACGAAAAGAAGAAAAGGGGAAGGGAGAAACCACGAGCAATAGGTGAAAAGCAATTCAATTTCCCAAAACCGAAACCAAAAATGAACCTAAACCAAAAACGAACCTAAACCGAAACCAAAACCATGAGATAAGGAGCATGCTTACAAAACAAAAACAACTTCCAGTGTGTATTTATGCAAGTTACATATTAAAAAGAAGGCATATATGGCATCCAACAAAATCGTAAATTTACGTAGACATGAAACACAGAGCCCAAAACATATGTTCGCTTCTAAACAACACCGAAGTTGAACCAATCTACAAATCACATAACATCGCCTAAACTAAAACCGAAACCGAAACAAAAACCAAAAACATGAGATAAGGAGCATGCTTACAAAATAGATATAATTTACGATAGGAAGACCAAGTTTCAAAAAATAACATCACACTGCACAAACGCCAAAGCAGTTGATCATCCACACATATAACTTCTCACTTACCTTGTTCCTACTCCCCCGTCAGCTGCTGGTTCTTTTGCATTGCACACATAAAAACATCAGAAATTAGCAAAAGTTTACTGAAATAAATTCAATTGAACTTGATAAGATAAATATACCGAGATATTTAATAGAACAAAACATCTGTTGCTCAAATGACTCGTACTGAATTTTCATTCCAGAAAGACAACAAACAAAAGCACATGCATCAAGCTGAACAAGTATTGACTATTCCATAAATAATCAAAAAAAAAAAAAAAAAACCACCTCATATGATAAAGAAACCGAATAATTATAAACAACAGATGAGGCATTAACGTCATACCAATCCTTTTAGGCAAACAGGTCAATCCAAAATAATAGGCTGCAAAAATGTAACGAAGGAACCACAAGTATCACGTAAAATGGAAAAAATAAAATAACATAATGCTGTAAAAGATAATAAATACTTGTGCTTTCTTCGTGCCTCTTTTCTCCCGTTTGGAAATTCTTTTGTGCGTTCTACATCAAATGAGGAGACAAAAGTGTTCAAAAATTTCAACCTAGAATTGTAATACAAATTTAAAATTACAGACATCCAAAGATAAATGTATATCAGTCCAAAATTTCTGTAAAAATCCCGCAGAACTAAAAAAGGCCTAAACTCAATCAGCAACCTATAACAAATGAAAAGGTAAACACAAACAAATAATTATATATAAACCACAGAAAACGATAAACATGCATCGATTCTGCGTTTTTATGAATTGGTACTCAAAAGTGAAAGTTACACCCATATGCATCGAGATGGGGCGAAGAGATGGCGCCAGTCAAGGAGTACGGGATTCAAGAATTATAGAGGGATGTTATGGGGCTTGATTAAAGTGAACGGAAAGAAAAAAGTCATGTGGATAAAAATTGAGCGAACCTGATGGTGGCTGCCGAAGAAACCAACATCGGCATCCCTATATTGAAAAAAAACTCATAATCAAAATTTTGAGCACAATAGACATCCCTAATCTCGGAACTGAAAAAAATAGATTCAATACAAATAAAGTACATAGAGTAACAGAAACAAGAAGTCATTAAGTTAATGAGAATCCCAGGTCTATAAATCCTGGCGCTCGAACAAGCTCCCCCCATTTTTTTTTCACCGGGACCAAGTACAATTTCTACAAACATCTAAATAGCAAAAGGGCATTAAATTCAAATAAGCAAAACAGATTAGAAAACCTAAACGAACCAAAATAAATCGTAAGAAAAAAACAGAAATATACGAGGCAGAAATCAAAAAAATATAAACAACTCCAACGGCTGACGAAGTCGTCGGACGCACAAAGCTACTCCATCTCAGAATTCAGTCGCCCGAATAAAAGCAGCTGTAAAAAATAAATGCCAACAAGAAACATCAATATAATAGTCCCCGGAAACATCAATATAATAGTCCCCGGAAACATCAATATAATAGTGGAACATTTGAATCTTCTATTATATTTTTTGCTATAAACTCAAGTTTACCAGAGCAGGGCGAAACAGAGTACTCCCTCTTCTTCTTCGCCGCAGAGCGACGCGACCTCTCGCTATGTTCATCAATCGAGGTTTGCCTAGACCGACATTGTGGACTGCAAAATGCCTTTCCCTCCGTGGTGACGATTCCCAGCTCCGTTAACAATCATCGGTGTCTTCAAGAACCTCGGATTTCTGTAATAATTAAAGTACTGATGGCCAAATGCCAAATCCAAAAGGAAATAGTGTAAAATATCAGGCCCTGAGTTAATTCTACCAACAAATAATAAAGGAATTCAGAAAGGTAGAAAAACATAAAAGTGACTATCAAAACGGCCGTAAAACTAATCCAATCCGTAAAGAGAAATTGAAATATCAATAACAGGGAAAAGTTTGACCGAACAAATCGTAAACCCAAACCCAAACCCAACCCCCAAAAAAATGAACAGCACAATGCGGCAGAGGATATTCCTCAGCAGGCATTTTGTCTGGAAAATATAATAAGCTGACTTAGCAGAAAATTAAAGCCAAAAAATAGTTATTCCAGAAAACAATCAATCTTGCTTTTTCAGTATTTTGATCAGACCATCTTGTAAGAACAAATACCTAACTTTTGCATTGAAGACATCTACCTTAGCCTGCACATTGATCTCAGTTATTGGTAGGGGCATGTCAAGAAAACAAAGAGGAAAAATCACTACCAAGAACCTTGTTCTTGTAATATTGTAATTTGCAGGTCAAAGTAAGAGGATAACTTCCTCCACTACCTGACATGATGCATAAACATCTCGGTCGCTGTCGTGCAAATGCCAGTATTTTTGCCGTAATATCTTGTACATGACTTAGAAATTAATAATTGCAACATAAAAAATAGTATTGCAAATTGACGGAATATCGAATAAAATCAAGATAATTAATTAGGGAATGCAACAAACGTACCTCTCCGACTCTAACGTGTAGTATATGTGGTGTAAATGCTAGTCCCGCTGACGTGTTCATCCATTCGCCTAATTAAAGATAATTATTTTCTCTTTCTCACATCTCACTGACAAAGGTTACGAACTTACGATAACTAAATCGATAAGAATACTGAAACATGTGCATTTAGAGGAAAACGAAAGGCAATATCTCCTAAAGACTCGTACTTTCGACAACAAAAATCGCATTTTGAAAGAAAATAACACATTAGGATTACTTCAGTTCTACATCAATTTACTCTCGAACAAAACTTACCAAGAGGAGGAGTTTCTGTTTCGACCATGTGCCAGGCGGCCGCCCCTTTCGTGCTCTCTCCCCCGAGGCAATCCGCTCAAATGATGGAGCGGCCGAAACAGGTGACAGCCCTAACGACATATTAGCTGCTCTACCGGGTATATATTTCTAGACCTACCCCTCATCTTCTTCACTGTTTCTGCACCCGAACGGGACCCACTTGGCACTACAGCAATGCAACTAATTCCATGAGAAAAAATTGGCGACGGATTCTCCACACGGAATGCCAAGCTACTTCCAGCTCCTCCAGCAAGGTAACACTCGTAACATATTATATACAATGTAATATCGTATATACAGAAATATCAGGAATAACATTGTTCAATATCTTCACTATAATTGATCCAAACTCATGGGGAGAACCCCAACCTGTATGCTGTATCCGTGGAGTAATAACCCCTGTAATATTCTATTCTATTAACTTAAAACCCACATTACTCAAATTGAATAGCAGTGTAACACTTCGTGCAGCTCCATGTTTATCAATCTTGCTTCAAGAATCTGCACATGTCGCACAAAATGGACAAATTTATCAACTTCACATAATAAGATCGAAAATGTTTTAATTTCCAATTTAAGCAGATAGCAGGGGTTCGGAAACTTCACCCTATAACTGTACAAAAGACTCTGGAATACTTCAAAAATCCAACGTTATACATTTTGCACTGAGTTGACCCACTTCAAACTCTTTAGAAGAGATTGATACTCTGGACTTTTGGACCATTCATCAATCTCACGTGCACGCAGAACCGGGAGAGGATGGGAAAGTTGCCTCGTTTGAGCATTTCTGAGCAGAGTTGAACAAGTTAAAGCATCTACCATATTTTAACATCCACATAGCAAGATAGCATCTTTTAATTATATTCTTTTTGCATAGCAAGATGAGTTGGCTGACCTTATATACCACCCAACTGGGCTAGAAGAAGCCTTTTCATAAGATCGAGCTTGCTCCAAAAAGGCATCCACGTTTAATTGGTCAGCCATAGAGGGGCAGCCACCAGCTAATTTCATCAGAACGGAGATGACAACCTCTTGTGGCGAGAGCACGTGTAAGATGATTAAAAGATAATAATAATAAATAATAATAATCATAGTTTGATATCAAAAGGGCAATAGATTAATCTTAATACTATCTATCTACCTTTGAGTCCCGAGCAACAAGAAGGGCGGCCCTATCACAAGTAAGTTCTGCTGCTCGAAGCCAGCGGAAGAGCTGTTCTTCTAATTGCTGAGCAATCAAACCGCCAAGGCCTATGAATAAAGAGCTTGTGAAATATAGTCGATGGTCTTAATAGTTCTTAATATAGGCGAATTGATAAAGGGAATAGAGGTGATCATAGAGATCACACGGGGAAACAGAAGAATTCCGTACGGGTACAACTTTTATTGGAACGAAGTGAAAAAAATACGATATTTGTTGTCTAATAGAACAAACACTAAACAACCCCCAACCATAATTGTAGAACTGACTCAGGCCGACCAACGAAAAACAAGAGCTTACCGGGTATAGAATATGCTCCAAGAGTAAGAATATTAGCGTACGTGAGCCATAAACCGTGGTCACACTTCAGATGACCCAATTCATGTGCCAAAACAGCATGTATGTGATACAGCAAATAAAGGTTAAAGTACAACTCAAGCACTACCAGAAGTAAGGTTTAGTACCTGCAATTCCTTTCTTGACAAAAGCTCCACTAAGCTTGTATGAACGACAACAAATGGCTTTTTCCCACTGATAGCCAAAGTATATGCATTAGGCACAGGACTTTGGCGCAAATATAAGTCGGGCGCGTCAATGTTCAGTATACTGGCAGCCTCTACCATCAATGCATGAAGTTCAGGGAGCTATACAAACAAAACAGACACAGTTATACGAGTAATATCTAAAAGAATATAACAATTGCCGCAAATTGAATCAAAAAATAAATATATTTACACAGTACTCAGACTCCTAGAGGTATCATAAAACAGAAGTTCAAACATTTAATGCATCCATAATTTGATACGAAAATATTAGTATAAACAGAACGAATTAAGAGCTTGTATCGTGTACTAAACCTGATTTCCAGAAACAAGAACAGATATGTCCCTATATTCTCCAGAAGCATGACTTGCTCAGCAACAGTTCCTACAACCCAATTATCGTTAGCTGAAGAACAAACGATCGCTCAGAATTTACTTCAGAAGCAAAATTTTCAAACAGCAGAATAAGATAATCATCAGAAATAGCTTAGTACCTCCTCATATTTCAAACTAAATTCCCAATAAATCAGGGAGACATTATTTTAAACCAATAATTTTTTAAAAGATAAATTAATTGAATTACCTAATAAAGCCTTTCCGATTTCATTTAACCCCGGAATCGCTCTCAAAATCAACGTATTCTGCGATCGCATAAAAACATAGAAAAATGAGTTTACAAAAATTATTGATTATCAACCAAAAATAGAAAACCATTAGTGCATCACACCACCACCACGGGACCCATGAATATTTGCGCTAGGCCCGGAATTAACAGAACCACCAGACCCTCCTCTAATAAACACAGTCTTCAAGCCCCTTTTACGGCGCAATTTGCAAATCTGAACTGACCCACCAAATTAGAATCAGAACTACAAAAACCCTAAACGAAAACAAAAGAAAAAAGCACAGACAAGATAGATACGTAATTAGAATCAGTACGCCTAACATGAGTTTTCCAGTAATTTATGAAAGGAAGTTGAAAGAATCAGTAAAATAAGTAAATTTAGTGTCCTAACCTGTAACAGTAACCAAAGGGTTATCCAAGAATCGGAAAAAAGGTTGAATCTTGAAACCGATTGAATGCCAAGAGAAAAGATCGAAGCTTGTTCAGAAAATGCAGAAAACCCACGTAGGTACTACCTACCCACTTGAACTTCTTCGCTGTGAAAATTAAAAGCAGCACAACACAGCCAAGAGTTTGGACGGCCGGAGAAGAGGACGAGAGCAAAGATCACCACAGAGCTTTATTAGGAGGAAAAACAATTAAAGCAAAAAGATGGGAAAGAATTGAGTGCGAGGCGGAAAGCATTTACACAAATTGAAGATAGAGACGAGGAGGGCGGCGACGCATACTATTGGAGAAAAAAGGCGGTGCCGTGGTATAGGTGCATCGGGTGGAGCGGCGGCGGGACTGATCAATGGCGGAGGTCAACAATTGTTGGCCATGGGTAAGGGTGCAGCCGGCAAAGCGACGTCGTTTTGCAGAAAGCGGAATAAAAGAAAATCGGAAATCAAGCAGCCACGACATGGTCGAGCTGCTTGCAAAATAAATTTAAAAAAAAATTAATTACGGATGCTGATTGGTGGGGGAATACGAAACGGCGGCGTTTCAGCATTAAGTGGGCCGAAAAAAAAGGCAAAATAAAAGGCAGTAAAGAAAAATGGCTTATCCCTATATACTTAATTTCGGAAATCGGAAATTCTGTTATGTATTTTCGATTCCGATCCGATTTTTTTCGGAATTTTCGGAAATCGGAATTTCGGAATTCGGAATTGAAAAAGTCGTTCCAAAATCGTTATATTTCGGATCGGATTCGGCGGAAATCTGAACTTTCATTCCGATTTCCACCCCTTATACAACAATTTATCTTTTTACAGCCTAAACTTCAATACAACACTCCTAACTTCAATACAACACTCCTAATAAACAAAGAAAGAAAGAAAGAAAGAAAGAAAGAAAGAAAGAAAGAAAGAAAGAAAATGAAACCATATGATCTAATTAGATCATCTGTGGCAGTGCTACTGCAAAAACAACACTTCATAAACAATTGATGCCTTACGAAATTACAACTTTAAGATTTATAACACGGCTACAAAATTACATATGTGAGGACAACTGCAGGTTTATGATATCAATTCATTCTTTAGCCCGCAGCAAGTATGATATCAATTCATTCTCGGAGTTCAGAATCACGGTAAGGGAGAAACACAAAGACAAACAGCTATTAGATATTTGTAACTACCTTCATGCCACGATTACTAACACTACTACGACCAGCATGGCTTTATTTGTGATTTACCCACTCTGGATATCAATCATGATCAACTTTTCATAGCAATTTTCCCAGAAATTAATTGACACCACCAACACTCATACCATTACCAACACCTCTTTGCTGACATCATCATTAGCCTCTGTTTCTACATCATCGTACCCTTTGGATACCTTACCACCATTCATCCTCTGCATTTCTTGCTCCAGGTCATACACCTTGTCACTCATACCTTCTTTTCTATACGCATCCATCATAACCGAGTAAGTTGTGGAATCTGGTTGACATGACTTATCTTTCATTCTCTTGAACACTCTTTCCATCTCCATTAAATCATCTGCTCTAGAGCAAGCATATATGACTGCATTAAAGAATGAGGTATTCTCAGGTATCTCCAATCTCCCAGCCAACTGAACCATGCTGATCACTTTATGAAAGAGACCAGCATTGGCAAAACCTCGTATGAGGCAGCACAATGTTTTGGTGTCCGCCTTAATGCCTTCAGCACGCATCTGATCAAATGTGTACTCCATGTGCTTTGCATCACCGGCATCAGAAAATGCCTCAATCACATTGTTGTAGGTCGATGTTGTCCACGGAAATGAAAGCCTCCGCATGTACTCCATCACAGATGACATCTTATCGTACATCCTTTTCTTACCATACGCACCAATCAGAATGTTGAATGTGCGTGTTTCCGGCTCGATCCCGAAATTGCGAAACTTCTCGTACCATTTCTCCATCATTTCAATCTGACCCACATTGCCAAACAAACCGATAATCGTATTCATAGTCCATACATCAGGTTCGCTTGTCGTACTTTCAAGCATCTTGGAGAGAATCTTCTCCATCTCTTCATATTTCCCCGCCTTTCCATAACCACTCAGTACTGTATTTTGAGTTACAGTATTTGGGGTGATTAATCTTTCAGCCATTTCATCATATAGGGAGTCAACCAGTTCGAAACGAAAAGCATCGGCACAGGCCTTAATCAGTATACTATAGGTATAGACATCAGGCTGGCAAAGAGGGAGAGACTTCATTTGTTCAAGAACTTCATAAGCTTTATCAATCAGATTGCTCCTGCAACATGCAGCAAGCAATGCTGTGTAAAGTTCTGGGGTTGGTTCTAATCCTGTTTGAAGCATTTCATCAAACAGCTGAGAGGCTTGTCCAGGTTGACCGGATCTTCCTAGAAGAACAAGTAGCTTCATGTAAGTCCCTTCTTTTGGGTGGTAAAAAGGTTGCACCTTTAGCATCTCAAATACCTATAAAGATTTAATGGGGGTGGTGATAAGTTTATGGATTAATTTCTGGTTCAGAAAGCAAAGAGAAAAGTAATGCATCATTGTCTTCGGCAGTCAAGACTTATATTTGCAATTTGAGTTACTGATGATTATATGACATATAATATATAGTAAAGCATTGAATCTTATCCAATACAAATTCAGAACTCCCTCGTCATCCTTTTGAATTCATGAGCCGATAAGCTCAGAAAGAAAAGTACAGCAGCACACCATTTACTGAAAAGATGAAAGAAAAGTGGTTGGGGAATAGAGTAAAACCTGAAGAGCCCGGAGCCATTGCTTTTTATCGATGGCATCAGAAAGAGCTTCGGTGACAGTATTAACCCAAGCGTTGGCATTAATCTTTCTGTCGAGCTTTTTCTTGATGTTCTTAATGGGGGTTCTCTTCTTATTGGTTGAGAATTTAGGGTTGGAGGTATGAGTGAGGCCAGGATATTCCCCTACTTTCCAGTGCTTTTTCTTGGGAGAATTGACGGTTGTCGACGATGATGAATTGGTGGAGGAGGAGATATAAATCAGCCTGCGGGGTGACTGGGTAACGGTCATTCTGGTTGTGGTGGTGGTGGTTGTGGGGAGTGGAGATGGGAGGAAGGAGGAGGAAAGAGAGAGTTGAAACGCCATTTGCATTGTTGCTTGCTTCAATTGTGGTGGTGTCAGACCTAAATCTGAGAAACGCCTCCAATTGTAACTGTTGTTGTTGAAGATGGTTGGAAAACAAACCAGAAAGTCATGAGATTATCTCTATTTATTTATTTATTTACTTTGACGACTGGTTGCAACTAAAAAAGAGAAGAGAAGACTTGATAATAATAAGAGCAGCAAAACGCTAATTAGATTAGTACTAATCATGCTTTATTACTACTAGTTTTCAAGTTGAGCTGTCTCTGTCTTTTGACTATTCTGCAGCTGTACAACAAAGAAACGAATCCTTCCTTGCTTCCGACTACAATTACAATATTACTTTTGGAAAATCGGATTTTTCGGAAATTTTCATTTTCGGAATTTTTCGGAATTCTTTCGAAATTTTTCTGGAATTTTCCCAAAAAAAAAAAAAAAAGGAAAAATTGATCACCAGACAGTAGCCAAATTGCAAAAAGAAACATCAAACAAGTAATCTTCACAAATACAAGAGTGTCATGTACTCAGGCAAATTGAATTGGGGATCGAAGAGGAAAAGGGGCAATCGTAAAATTAGGGCTTTCAATAAAGGAATTGAAGACGACGGCGTTTTGGCTGCAGAAATGCACAAAATGGGAGATTCGAGTGGGCCGCATTATTCTAAGCCCAAACCATACTCAGCTGCTGAAGTGGGCCTAAAGCTTGAGCCCAACACCGGATGGGCTGTTGAAGATTCCAGCAAATGTGCTGGCAACCAATTTTATTTAAATACCTGCAATTAGAATAAGGACAGGTGTTAGTTTTGTATTGGGTAAAGGGGAATATCCCTTTAGGTCATATTTGGCAGGTTTCTATAAATAGCATGAAAATCATTAATGAAGGCAACTAGCCACTTTTATCTGAATTTCACCAACTCTTTCTTCTTCTTTACTCTTTCTTTCCTATTTCTTCCTCCCCAATTAACCCTATTCTACTGTTCCATTGAAAGGCAATATATATAATACTCAAAATATAATATTAAATACATCAGATCCTTACATTTGGTATCCAGAGCAAGGCTCTTTTTCCTGGAGAAAAACACTACAAATATGGCTGAAGCTACCAGATCTAAGGAAATATTATAAACACACAAGAAATTGGTGGATCAGAAGATCCAAGAGGAGGTGGATAGGAGACAGGCAGTAGAGATTTTGCTCCAAAATCAGCTCAATTTGGTATCACAATCTGTAACAGAAGGGCAGACACAAATGCAAAAGGCAGTAGAGCTATTGCAGCTACAGATGACCAAAATTGCTGAAAGAATGGAGTTCTACCACAGAGACAAACCACTTATGGGAGGGGGACCTTCATCATCAGCTTCTGGTAACTCTACAATCCCTATGGCTACTCCTGAACACTACACTAGGCCAGCTACTGAATTAAGGGGGTTTAAACAGCATGAAAGGGATGAGCAGTTTGCTGTGGGATTTAACCCTAGCCCTAGAGTTGAATTCCCACGGTTTGATGGATCTAACCCTAGATCATGGCTACTGAGGTGTGATAGCTACTTTCAACTCATCCCAAATATACCTAACAAGCAGAGGGTTGCCATAGCTTCCATTCACCTTGAGGGCAAGGCAGCCTCATGGTATAGCCATTTGAATCAGAGGGATTTGTATTGGGAGGATTTTGTAGGGTTAGTCACCAACAGATTTGAGGAGTTACAGGAAGGGAATGTGTTGGATGATATACACTCTCTAAAGGTGACAGAATCTGTTGAGGAGTTTATTGAAAAGTTTGAGGAGATGAGGTGTTATTTACTGCTATTTAACACTAGGACATATGATGAGAAGTACTTTGTGCACTGTTTTATGAAGGGGCTGCCTGAGGAAGTCAGGAGCTTCTTTTCCCTTTTTGACATCAAAGGCTTGCATCATGTCATGGAAATGGCCAGGAAACAAGCACATACCATTGAGTCAATCACCAAAAAGAACAAACCACCCTACAGACCAACCACTACCCCATTTCCACAACCAAAGAAAATATGGCACAACCCCAATCCACCACCCACTCAACCTAATAAACCACCAACCTACACACCACCTGCTCTGCTTCCCCAGAGAAAGAACCTTACCATAGCTGAAATGAGAGCCAGAAGAGAAAAAGGGCTCTGTTACAACTGTGATGACACATATACACCTAACCACAAATGCAAACACAGCCATATCTACATGTTGATGACAGAAGCAGAAGAGATGGAGTATTATCAAACCATGTCAGATGTAGAAATGTTGGAGGGAAATGTATCAGGGGAAGAGGTACAGGTTTCCCTCAATGCCTTATTGGGCAATACGGGAGTGAATACCATCAAGGTTTATGGTAATTTTGGGAATGTTCAACTTAATATACTTATAGACACTGGTAGTACAAATAGCTTCATTTCTGGAGGGTTGGCTGCAGAGCTTAACTGCAGAGTGGAAATGGCCCCAAATATGATTATTACAGTGGCAAATGGGGCCAAACTTTTGAGCTCCAGAATCATTAGGGAGTTTGCTTGGCAGATGCAGGGCCATACTTTTAATTTTCCACTAAGAATAATAGATATGGAGGGATATCATGTTATTCTTGGGTGTGATTGGCTTTTAAAGAGTAGCCCACTGGTATTTGATTATGACAAAAGGTGCATTGAGGTGAAATGTGGAGTCCATAGGGTCATGATCACTGATATCAAGGAAGAAGTTGACTGGAAGTTGGTTTCTAGTGAATCATTTTACAAAATGATGCAACATCACAAAGGAGATGCTGAGGGTCAAGTATACTCTATTGTGGACAGTGGACCACAGAAGGTATTTCCAGCTGAAGTTACACAACTGTTGAAGGAGTATCAAGATATATTTGAGGAGCCTAGGGGTTTACCACCAATCAGGGGTGTTGAACATCACATAATTCTCAAGAAGGATGCCATTCCTAAACAACTCTACCCTTACAGGTATTCACATGCCTATAAGAATGAGATTGAGCAAATTGTTAAGGAACTTCTAGAGAATGGAGTGATCAGGCATAGTCAGAGCCCATTTGCCTCCCCTGTCTTATTGGTCAGAAAAAAGGACTCTAGTTGGAGAATGTGTGTGGACTACAGATATCTAAACACTATGACTGTGAAGCATGATTACCCCATTCCAGTCATAGATGAGTTATTAGATGAATTACATGGGGCAAGGTGGTTTACAAAGATGGATCTGAGGTCAGGGTATTTCCAGATCAGAATGAGGGATGAGGATGTGTATAAGACAGCCTTTAAAACACATCATGGCCATTTTGAGTTCATGGTTATGCCTTTTGGGCTTTGTAATGCCCCTGCTACATTTCAATCTCTCATGAATCAGGTGTTTGCTTCTTATTTGAGGAAATTTATATTGGTGTTTTTTGATGATATTTTGATATACAGCAAGAGTCTGGAGGACCACCTACATCATTTAGAGACTACACTAGCAATTATGAGGAAACATGCTTTATATGCTAAACAGTCTAAATGTTGCTTTGCTCAACCTTCAATTGAGTACTTGGGTCATATTATCAGTGAGCAAGGGGTAGCTACTGATCCTGAGAAGATCAAAGGGATGTTGGATTGGCCAAAACCTACAACAGTCAAAGGACTCAGAGGGTTTTTAGGACTTACAGGTTATTACAGGAAGTTTGTTCAATGCTATGGAGCTATTAGCAAGCCCTTGACAGAGATGTTAAAAAAAGGAGGTTTTCATTGGACTAAGGAAGCAGAAAGTGCTTTTGCACAGCTCAAAGAGGCTATGGTTACATCACCAGTGCTTGCCCTGCCTGACTTTTCTAAACCCTTCCTGGTGGAAACAGATGCCAGCTCTACAGGTCTTGGAGCAGTACTAATGCAAGGCTCCAGACCTATAGCTTTCATCAGTAAGGCACTCAGTTTAAGGAATCAGGCATTATCTATTTATGAGAGGGAGTTTATGGCTGTTTTGCTGGCCATTCAGAAGTGGAAACACTATTTACAGGGCCACCACTTCACTATTAGAACTGATCAGCAAAGCATCAAGTATATTATGGATCAAAAGTTCACTTCAGCCCTTCAACAGAGATGGATTTCTAAATTGATTGGGTTAGATTATACCATTGAGTATAAAAAAGGGGCAGAGAATAGAGTAGTTGATGCCCTTTCAAGGAAGGAGTGTACAAATGGGGAGTGCTATGCCACTACCACTGTTCAACCTAAATGGATGCTAGAGGTTCTTGATAGCTATGAACAAGATGCTGCTATCAAGAAAATATTAGCTGCTCAGGTGTTGGATTCTTCTTCCTTTCCTGATTACTCAGTAGTGCAGGGTATTTTGAGGTATAAAGGGAGAATCTGCATTGGATCAGATCTGTTATTGAGGGATAAGCTGCTACAGAGTCTTCATGACACAGCTATTGGGGGTCACTCAGGCATTCATGGCACTTATCACAGAGCCAAATCACTTTTCTATTGGCCTAAGATGAAAGCAGATGTTCTGAATTTTGTTCAGAGTTGTGATGTGTGTAAGAAAGCCAAGCATGAAACCAATCCTTACCCAGGTTTATTAGAACCTTTGGAAATTCCTAAAGAGGCTTGGTCACATGTTTCCATGGACTTTATTGAAGGGCTGCCTAAGTCAGAAGGTAAGAATGTCATACTAGTGGTAGTAGACAGACTCACCAAGTATGCACATTTCCTACCCCTTTCTCACCCCTACTCTGCCCCAAGTGTTGCCAAACTCTTCCTAGACCACATTGTCAAATTACATGGACAGCCAGTTAATATTGTCACTGATAGAGATAGGGTTTTTACTAGCCAGTTTTGGACTGAGCTATTTAAACTTCTTGGTACTAAACTGTCTATGTCCACTGCCTACCACCCTCAGAGTGATGGCCAAACTGAGCGTGTTAATCAGTGCTTGGAGGGGTATTTAAGGTGTTTTGCCAGTCAGCACCCTCATCAATGGATGAAATGGCTCACCCTTGCTGAGTTCTGGTACAACACCAATCACCATACTAGCTTGAAGATGTCCCCATTTCAAGCCTTGTATGGGTACAAACCACCCTATTTCTCTATGGGTTCTTATCTAGACACTACCAACTCTACAGTGGGAGACTTAATTCGTGACAGAACTCTTGTGTTAGACCTCATTCGTGATAATTTGTTACTAGCTCAGACACGTATGAAACACTACGCGGACACAAAAAGGGTTGAACGACAGTTTGAGGTGGGGGATGAAGTTTACCTCAAATTGCAACCATTTAGACAGAACTCGGTCGCCCTTCGCCGGAATTTGAAGCTTTCGAACCGGTATTTTGGACCTTATCCTATTGTGGAACGCGTGGGACCCGTCGCCTACCGGCTACTCCTTCCACCAAACTCCAAGGTTCACGATGTATTCCATGTCTCGCTACTGAAAAAGAAGCTCAGCACCAAGCACATTCCCAGCCCCAACCTCCCTTTCTCTACTGATACTGGAACTTTTGAAGTTTTTCAAAATCCTGGACCAGCGCACCACGACCCTCAATCAGCTACCGTGCACCCAAGTCCTCGTGCAATGGTCGGGTTCTGACCCTACGCACGCTACATGGGAGAATTTCGATGAATTGATGGCCAAGTTCCCTTCTTTTGATCCTTGGGGACAAGGATTTGGTAATCCCGGGGGTAATGTCATGTACTCAGGCAAATTGAATTGGGGATCGAAGAGGAAAAGGGGCAATCGTAAAATTAGGGCTTTCAATAAAGGAATTGAAGACGACGGCGTTTTGGCTGCAGAAATGCACAAAATGGGAGATTCGAGTGGGCCGCATTATTCTAAGCCCAAACCATACTCAACTGCTGAAGTGGGCCTAAAGCTTGAGCCCAACACCGGATGGGCTGTTGAAGATTCCAGCAAATGTGCTGGCAACCAATTTTATTTAAATACCTGCAATTAGAATAAGGACAGGTGTTAGTTTTGTATTGGGTAAAGGGGAATATCCCTTTAGGTCATATTTGGCAGGTTTCTATAAATAGCATGAAAATCATTAATGAAGGCAACTAGCCACTTTTATCTGAATTTCACCAACTCTTTCTTCTTCTTTACTCTTTCTTTCCTATTTCTTCCTCCCCAATTAACCCTATTCTACTGTTCCATTGAAAGGCAATATATATAATACTCAAAATATAATATTAAATACATCAGATCCTTACAAAGAGACTCACACAAATACCGTTGGTGGTGGTCGTCGGAGAGCCGGGAGGCGCTGGTGGTGGTGGTCTTCAGAGAGCCGGGAGGCCAGGTGGCGATGGTGGTGGTTGGAGAATCGGGAGGCGCAAGTTGTGGTGGTGGTTGGAGAATCGGGAGGCGCAAGTGGTGGTGTCGTCGGAGAATTGGGAGGCGCTGGTGGTGGTGGTGGTCGTCGGAGAGCGGTGGTGGTCGTCGATGACTGCTGCTAGAGAGTGGGGTAGGGTTTCAAGTAATTCTAATAAATTTTGAGTTTTGAGTTTTGTATGTTTTAGAAAATTAAAAAATAATAATATGTCCATATATTAATTATGTTGATAACCCCCAATTCTCGCCCCCCCTATTTTTCTACGTTTCATCTTTGGCCTCTTTTAATCTGAAACGGCGCCGTTACGTTTCAATCCACCAATCAGCGTGCAACTTTCTTTCCTTTTCCCTTTTCTTCCAGAAAATGCACGATCGACCTGCTTCTTCTTTTTCCTTTACTTTT